TGGCCGGTGCTAGAGCTTTGGTGCCAGCAGGGGCTAGCTAGTTGCTAGCAAAGGCCGACAGCTAGGCTCTGGTAAGGGGTTCCAAACATTTCTTGAAAAATAATAAAGGGACATTTTTGAAATTTTTCTCGAATTTCAAAATTTCAATTTGGGTTTTTGGACAATTTGAGATAGTAACTTAAATTGAATTATTTAAGTTATGAGACGGCCTCTGTTAGGATTATAGTTTTGATGATAACAAAGTTAGATAAATTGGGTTAAGTATGTTGATCGATCATCTGATCGATCAACCGTTTATCGCTAAGTTTTCAGATAACTGCTCAGGTATAAATCAGTTTTATAGTAGGTGTTTTGATCGAAGATCTATCCGATAAGTTGTTGATCAATAAAATGATCGATTATCGCTAACATGGAAATCACATAAGGTTACAGTTAATTATCGATCACTTGATCGATAACATCAGATAAACAAACAAGTAACAGATAAAGAGAACCAAATCTGAAGTGTATTTATCGATCACATGATCGATAAATCAGTTATCAATAACGACTTCGATAAGAGGTAACACACTCTACTCGTTCTGCACATTAATTCTGTTACCATTTATCGATCATATTTTCGATCATTTGTTTATCGATCACATGATCGATCATTATGCTCTAACTCTCTGAATGCAGGTAATAATCTTAACTGCTGGATCGATAACCTTATCGATCATAAAATTATCGTTCACATGATCGATAATCAATGTCTTTATCTACTCATACTTAGTTTTCTCGGCAACCAAATTATCGATAACATTATCGATAATTTAGCTTGTTTGCATAATATCTTTTCACATAACATGATCGATAAAGAGTCTAAGGATTGCTATATTCACATTAACTTATGTTGAACCATTTTCGATCACCTAATCGATCATTGACTTTTAGATTATATGATTGATCATCCGATTTCCTGAAACTCGTGTTTTCATAAAACGTGATCGATAATCAGTTTCTTTACCTTACAAGATTAAATTTCTTTCTTCACTTTATCGATCACTTGTTCGAATATTTATTGATCGATCACCTGTTCGATCATTCCAGATAGACTGTGTTTTTTGCTAAATATATTCTTACTTATGGTTTATCGATAACCTTATCCATCATCCATTTATCGATAATTTGTTCGATCATCAATGACTGAAGTTTCATTTCTGTAACATTTGAATTATCGATAATCTGTTCGATCAACAAGTGTTCGATCACTTGTTCGATCATGGAACGATTTCCGTTTACCATGATAATTCTTAAAGTCAATGATCCAACACTTGATCGATAATATTGTTGAACTGATTCAAAAAGCTTTCACTCTATTTATCGATAACCTGATCGATCAACAAGTAATCGATCACCACTTCGATCAAGCATATCCAGAATGTTTTTCTGCTCTTTTTACAGATAAATCACTTCGTCCAAAATCATTGAATGATAAATTCGTTTTCTCTTTTTGGTTCATGACTAAAGCCTACACCACAAGACTCTTACTTGTTTAAAGCTTAAAATATGCAGATTACTAAGAAAGAATACAACGGCTCTTCAACGGGATTACGTAGACTGCAACCTACAGTGTCAGAAGCTCAGACGCATTAATGGCGGAACCGTTGAAACCGGCGAAACACGCAAGCGGAGTCACAGCGACTATAAGTTCTTCCGTCTAACGGCTACTTAACGATATCAACTATAAAAGGCGCGAAGAAGCATTAATGAAGGGATTGAATAGCGAAACTACCACCTGTGATTATTAAGCCTAGCATTCAATACTCTGTTTTCCTTAATACTACTGAGCATCAGTGTTCATCATTAAATTCACTCTGTAAGAGAGCCGATAACTACTCTTCATTAAATACTATTGAGTGATACTCAAGAGTGTGGACTCTTGAGAGGGCTTGTATCCTTATGGGAGTAAGGGGGAGTGATTGAGCGATTCAATTACTGTACCGAGGCACCAAGAGCCCTGTCAATCTTGGAAGATAGTGAAATACTCAGAAGTGTTCTGAGGACTGGACGTAGGTCAAGTGGTTAAGACCGAACCAGTATAAATCTTGTGTCTTCTCTCTTCGGTGAAATCTCTCCTGACTCTGACTCTGTTTTTCAATACTATCTCATTTTAATTTTTATGTTTTTGTAACTCACCCAATTCACCCCCCTCTTGGGTGAGATTGATTCTGACAGCCTCAAATAACCAGGAAAAACTAGGAAACAGTAGTGAGGAATTTACACAGATTGTAAAATTAATCCCGTCCCTAGAAATTGATAAGGTTAGCTTTAATTAAATTTAAAGCCTATTTATATACTATCCGGAGAAAGTCAAAATAGCTGTCTAGAGTTTGACTTTAGACTCGAGAAAAATTAGAGGAATTTCTCGTGATGAAAGGGAAAGAATGAAACCTAGAGACAGATCAACGGAGTTATGAGCCTATAGAAAGAATTCAGAGAAGGTAACCCTGATTAAGTATTATTTAATAATTTTTTTGGGAAAAGGAGAAAGAAAATATCTAAAGACCATCATGACGGCGCTGAGTCAGCATGCCGAGTCACCAAATGCAATCATGACACCTACGAGTCAACATGCTAAGTCACCAAATAGAATGACACTGTTGAGTCACCAAATGCAATCATGACACCTACGAGTCATCATGCTGAGTCAACAAAAGATATTTATGGACAGCATAAAAATCAGAACGCAGTACGGGTATATTTTAGACAGTCCTTTGTCTACCCGTTATAGTGAAATCTCCACTGTGTGACTCAGTAAGGTTAAGTAGCCTTCAGCAGAGCTAATTATTTTTATCTATGCTCCTCTAAGATGGAGCCATATATGTACTTAATTAAGATGAGAAAATGGTGCTAGAACATGTCCCAGTGGTACCGGGTCAGTCAGGACTCAGAAAAGTACTCGATATGGTGTAGAATGGCAAAATAGTTGGAGGAATGTCTAAGGGCTATATTTTGCACGAATTTTATATTAATTTCTTCCCTATTTTAATGCCAAAATGATGAAGGAATATGGAAGTGAAAAGTGTACAGTTAGATGGGAAAAGAAGGTATTACGTGTATGGTTGGATGCAAGACACGTGTGTGGTTGGATTAAAGACATGTGGCTTGATGATGTAAGCATGATGTCATTAAGATGACATCACCGTAGACAAGTGTCACATTTCTTGGAGAGAAAGCTTACTTATTCAAGAAGAAAGAATGGATGACCGAGATCGAATCGGAATCGACGGCCAGGATTTGTTCTAGCTTTCTATAAATACCCCCACCCCTCCATTTCGTCCAAGCACAAGGAAACTATAGGGAAGCTCTTGTAAAATGGTTTCTAGAGAGAGAAAGAAGGGGGAAAAAGAAAGGCCAAGTAATCCCAAGCCAGATCAAGCTCTAAAACAAGGTATGTGTGCTGTTTTTGATGTAGTTTCTACCTCCCTTGTTATTTTTGAGCTAGTGGTTGGTTTGATTGGATTTTTTATGATTGAAATCCTAGGGGGAGGTGTTGCACGAAATTTATTGAAATAGGAGAAGATGATATGGATGTTAAAAGCATGTTTAAAGGCTTGAAAACAACAAGAATCAAGTGGTTCTGTGTTGATTTTGCAAGAAATCCAACTTTCTCTTAGTTTGTGATTCTGTTCAGCCTTGACTATTTTGAATGGTTAGGATTGGATTTTGATTGTTTTGAGTTTGGAAATAGATTCTACATACAAAATTATGTGGGGATAGTATGTGGAAATAATTTTAGGAAGGTTGGAATTGAAACCCAAAAGTTCAAGTTCAAGTATGTTCAAGAAAGAATCAAGTAGAGATAACTTGATAACTTGATTCTAATAATTATTTTACATCATGCATTGATGTGTTTAGGACCTTGGAACATCTAAAAGAATGTTTAATGGTGTTGACCGAAAATCCATAGGGTTCGAAAGACAAGGGAATCAAAGGAAAAGCAAGAGGAAAGCTATATTACAAGGTAGTAGTGAACTCACCTATATTGTGTGCTTGATATGTATGCTTGCATGATGCGATTGTGTTGCCATGATGTGACTAAACTATGATGAAATGTTTGCAAAGTTATGTTTGCAAGTTTATGTTATGCTTTGCCTTGGCTATATGTTATGAAAGCATGAAATCCTTTAGCTTACTTTCCATGGCATTCATGTCTTAATGTTATAACATGTCATGCATTTGCATTATGTCTTGCATGCTTATGGGTAGTGTTTGCTACTGAGATTCTCCCAAATCTCACCCATTCCTAACCAACCATTTAGGTCAATCAATGGTGGGCAATAATGGCATGAGAGGCAAGGAGAAGAAAGTGGAGAATTATTGATGTTAATGAATGATATTATTATTCAATGTGTAATTCTCCTGTTATGTAATTTATGTTATGGATGCCAATAATATCATGTATTTAATTACAATGTTTATGGAATGAATAGAAATGTATGAGGATGATAAGGAAAGTGTAAATCCAATTTATGTATGCCAAAGAAATAGAAAGAATTAAAGTAAAAAAAGGTTAAGAGATAAAACATAGGTCATGGAGCAGTGAGTTTGTAGCTCTAGTTTGACCTATCAAATGAATGAGTTAAGCCATAAAATTTGACAGATTCATTGTACACATCCCAAGCTTTAAATGAGAGGTAGATCGCCTCAGTTGGATGTGTACACAAGGAGATACGATTTTTATAGAATTAGTTATGATTTTTCAAAATTGGACATGAAATCTGAATTTAAACAGTGAATAGTAATTCGAGTAGTTATGTTGAAATTTTTAATCTACGGGCTTGTATTTTGACCTGTTTGACCCATAACGCTTACGAATACGTACTTTAAGGGGTTAAAGATAGGATGTTTCATATGATAGTTATGATAAAATAGATAACTCAATCCATTCCTAATATGAATAAATAAAAGGACCCAAAGTCTAAGTAATAAGATGTTGTCAACAATACTTCTATAATCTACACATAAATATTGTGGAAAACCTCCTTGTAAACAACATTGTTTGTTCTGTTAGAAGCTTTACCATCTGTATCCAAGATTAAAATTTTAAGCCCACTCTTTCTAAGCACACGAGAGACTGCCACATAGAGCTGTCCATGGGTAAAAACTGGATGAGGAAGGAACAAGCCAACGCTATGCAAACTTTGACCCTGGCTCTTATTAATTGTCATTGCAAATGATAGTATGAGAGGGAATTGGCGACGACATAGTGTAAAGGGATACCTAGAGTCAGAAGGTGTAATAGTCATCCCAGGTATCATAACGGTTTGGTTAATGATAGTATCAGATAGCATTTGGCAAATGATGACATGTTTTTCTAGTTTGATGACAATCAGTCTAGTACCATTGCAAAGTCCATTGGATTTGTCAATGTTCCGTATGAGCATTACTGGTGCCCCAACTTTGAGTTTCAACGTATGGTTTGGTAGTCTTGACATTTTGATTGTGTTAAGAAACTCAACTGAATGTATGTTGTCACTAGAGCTTGATGCTGTATCCTACTTTGAAATGCTATCTGCGCTAAGATACTCAACTTTATCACCAGGAAGAAGGGACAACATGAGTGAGTTGACCTCGTCCACAGCAGATAATGTTGGGCATAAGATAGCACGATCATTGAAGTAGGCCTTGTCTTGCAAGTGGTTAGGAAGATTTGGATATATGGCATCGACTATACAATGCAAAGGATTATCCACTATGGTCAACAAAAAATCATCTGGAATAGTAATGAGATCATCAGTGTCTTCAACTATTGGGATTGTGCCATCACTTATTGATAAAATCCAGTTTGCAAATGCAATAAGCTCACATTGGGTTGCTTCGCTCGTGCAACTTTCAAGGCGTATATTCCTTGTAAGAGTGAAAATCTGATAGTCTTTCCATAAATAAGAAGAATTAATAGTTGCAAAAACAGTATCCTCTCTACGTCCTCTTGGAATTACAAGCAAAATTTTTCTGCAATCACCTCCAAGAACAACTACTTTTCCTCCAAAAGTTTTGTTTCTTGAAGGCCCGATTGATGGTTGATTGAAATATCACATGCATTAATCTATGAAGGCACGATTTTGGATAACACATAAAAAAATAAACAGTTGAACGCAAATAGTACCTGCAAAAATTGTCTCCTTGTGGGAAGCAAGTAATGGTTTGTAATGTTTGCCAATGGCTGCCGTGCAAAGCTATCCCCAGAGTGTACCATGTCGGGACCCAACATAGATGAGTGAGTTAAGCTCTCTCCTGTACGCACAATAACTAAATAGTTAGTACTTGCATATTTACTAAATAGAAAGAAGGCATCTAGTGAAAACCCATTTTAGCTAGTAGTGGGAAAAAGATTTATTCCCTTAGAAACTCGACAGCGCTTCACACGAAGAATATTCAAACACATGGCTCTAGCTTGAGGACTGTTGCTCTTCCCACCATGATTACCTACAGGAAGAATAACCAAATTACCCTTTGAATTAAATCACTCACAGAGAACTCAAAAATCCACAACATATTTTAACTTCTCCACAAAAGAGGACAAAAATTGAGATTTAACTTCTACACCTTGGGATAAATCCATTGATGATCTAATGGGTACGCCGTGTGGATGATTTTTTTACGGAAATGCAATGTCTCTTGTGCTTCTGGGTATATCTCGCACGAAAACATAATCGAGGCTAAGCAATTACCCAAGTAGAGGAAAAAAAACCGCTAGAAATCATGGGGTTGACTCAGCAAACATGATACTAATTGGATGCAATGTCACTATTGCATTAAAGTTTAGTGAAAGTTTTAGTAGAATTTCTAGGAAAATATATATATCACTATTCGTATTTTATATATATAGTTGAGATATATATATATATCACTACTGAGATATATATATATCACGTTGATTTTTACTGTTTAGTGAAAAAATTCAATAGAATTTTTAGGAAAAATAATATACATCACTATTCCTATTATATATATCGTTGAGATATATGCCGTATAAAAGAATGGCAGACGGAGAGAAAATGGTTAATAACTTGAAAATTACATACTTCATTCAATAATTACGTACTAAAAGTGATATTTTCTTCTATATTATAAAAGTAGGTGGTGTGATAATTAGATATGATGATCTCATCTTCGAATTACAATATAATATCAAAGTTTTTCAAAAGTATACATTTTTAACAAATTCATTATCCACATTCTAAGTTAATATATATCTATATATATATTCTAAATATATGATTTTAAATGAATTTAAAAGATTCAACCAATAAATTCAGATTCAAATAAAAATAATTACGCATTGGTCATGAATTTTAACTTTGTTTTAAGCTTTAAATAATACATATTATATCATGTACTTAAACAATCGCATATTTATTTGTGGGTTTTAAATATCACTTGATTTTTAAGTTTTTCTTAATTTTAAATTTAAAATACATTCATGTAATCACCATGGCAATGTTACCGGAAAAAAAATGCCCAAGTCAACGTTAGATAATTACACTTTTAATCCAAAGTGCAGAACTCCTAAATAATACATGAGAAGTTAAAATATCTATAAAGTGAAAGTAAAATTGAGGTAACAGTGTTGGTTGATTTAGTGGACTTACGAGGGGACCGTGAATGGACTTATCTTGCATGCAAGCATTGTGGTAAGAAGGCTTCTCTCGATGGCCATGGATATTTCTGTGAGAAGTGCGATACAGTGGTCAAGTCTGTTATTCCTAGGTAAGTCTTAAGAGTCCAGCAATGAAGGTGATTGTCATTTGAATGTCTCTATGGTCATGGTTGCTATATATAGTTCTTTGGTCTTTTATTGCCAGATGTGGTCACAGCAGAAGTTGTGGATGACTCTGGATCATGCCACTTTTTGATCTAAAATTGAGATCTAAAATTAAAATATATAGAAATTTAAAGCTAATAATTCGAAGTAAACACAAATAAATAAACTAAAAATTCAAACAAAACTCATTAACGGTTTATACATCTTAAGCTTTTGAAAATTAAAATTTAAACAATACATATGATATCATATAAATAAATAAAAAAATATCTTTGGGCTACGGAATTTCTTTGCTTTTTAAGCTTAACCTAATTTGAAATTAAAAAACACTTGTAAAAATCATTATGATTTAAAATACACCCATACAATTTAATTAAATCGGGGAAGGAAGTTAGAACACATCTGAAAACATTAAAAATTTAAATTTATTTAATTTAATAATTCTCTAAAAAATGCTGCATAAATATTTAAAATAAGAAACAATAATCACATCAAATAATAATAAAGGTCATAAATCTACAATACATAAAATAAACTCATAAGAAAATCGATTTTTTTTTTTGCTGCTTAATGTGGTACTGCTATCAAGAATATAAATGAAAAATCACCGGCCAAACAATAGGAGGAAATTAAAGCATATATATGTGAAAAGATTAAAAATTTTATCTTCTTTAATTTAATAAGTCCTCCAAAAAAACTTGACCTAAATGTTTAAAAGAAAATAAAAGTAAATCTTTGACTACGGGAATTTCACTGCAATCTTCTCTGCTCTCTTGCCTGAAGAAGAAAGATGCATATACGCTCAATAATGCCATCTTCGAATTATACATATATCACCAAAAAACAAATACTACAGGAAGTATTTAGGTAGATATTAATCCCGATTACTCATACAGAGATCACCATCTTTTTTCTCCTTTCTATTGAAAAAGAAATATTAATATCCAGATTTAGAAATTAAAAGAAAATACAATTACTACTCGTGCACATGGTCAACCTTAACGGGAATTTCTCGTCATCTCATGTATATTAGAAAACATATTTAGAACATGCTACCTTAATATTTGGCAAAAGCTGTTAAAATTGTGCATATTCATCAATTGTTATTCTTTCCAATAGAAAGAGGACGGAGGAAAGAAAACGAAAGAAAGCTCAAAGATCATACCCTCGCTCCTAGTTCCCTCCGCAACAAAAGACACTGTCAATAACAAACATGCTATCCTGCGAAATACATAAAAGAAGAAGAGAGGAATTGAGAAGAATAACTTATTTGGCAGTGAAGAGTGGATACAAGAAAACAGATAGAAGAGATGCACTCCAACTTGAGGCGCCCTCCAAAGCGAGGCATGAAAATAAACTGAAGTCGAAAATATACTAGGACTAAATTGGATATGCAAAGCAAGATTTAGAAGCAACCGTTAGCAACCACCTCACTCCATCACTTGAAGATAATGAATCCCGAAATTCACTCACTTGATCAGCCAACATGGATAAGCCACAACTAAAATTTGGAATGTGGAAAATTAAACACATAAATTATCAAAATAGTTATAATAGAAATAACCAAAGATCATGAGAAGGTAGTTGCAAAAATCTTAAATTTAGATTGTGAAAAGCAAAATAAAGATATAAAATAAAATATTTTCAAAATAATTATATTTAAACATAAGTTAGATAATAAAAAGGTAGTTACTGTTAGGATTAAGGTTTTAATGATAACAAAGTAAGTAATATGTGTTTCAGTATGTTGATCGATCATCTGATCGATCAAGGACTTATCGATAAGCTGATAGATAATATCTCTGAACAATCAAGTAACTTAGTAGAAACTTTGATCGATAAGTTGTTAGATAATGTGTTGATTGATTAATTGATCGATCATTGTTCACTTAGTTATGTATAAAAGTCTGGAGTAAATTATCGATCACTTGATCGATAATCAAGATGATCGAACATCAGTAAGATAAAGGGATACAAATCTGATAAGCATTTATCAATCACATGATCGATAAATAGATTATCGATGAGAAGACATATAAATGGTAATGCGCTCTACTTATTCTATGTTTTGCTTTAGCCACCATTTATCGATCACTTTATCGATCATTGATTTATCAATAACGTGATCGAACATTGCTTCATAACCTTCTCTACATGTAGTTACTTATCCAATTAGCTTATTGATCACCTGATCTATCAACAAATTATCGATCACATGATCGATCATCGGTACATCGCTCTTAAATCATGGTTCTTCGATCACCAGATCAATAATCAAATTATCGATAATTTGATCGATCACCGCACTTCATGTTTGCCTTGTTTTTCACATAATGTGATCGATAAATCAGCTCTTTAACTTTGTAGGATTAAATCTCTGTGTTCTACTTTATCGATCACTTGATCGATCATTCATTAATCGATCACCTATTCGATTAACTGCATAGTCTATGTTTTCACTGAATATACTTTTGCTTATGGTTTATCGATAAGGTTATCCATCATCTTTTTATCGATAAAGTGTTTGATCATTATTGCTTTAAATTCTGTTCTATAACACTTTGTTTTATTGATAACCTGATCGATCAACAAGTGTTCAATCACTTGTTCGATCATGGAGTGATTTCAGTTTAAACTTCAACCAATCACGATGTTTCTTAAAATTTATCATCTATTTCATTCAAGCTTTTCTCAGCCTTCATGTTTGTCTTAATTCTCTATTTAAAGAGATTCAAAATCAAAAGTGATCTTGATCTTCTTTTTCTCTGCATACCAGTATAATGTCACTGTTTTCTTTTATCGATCAGTTGATCGATAAATCATTAATCCATCACTTGATCGATAAACTTAGTTATCTGTTTCAAAAGCTCTTACTCTGAATAATCGATAACTTGATCGATCAACCAGTAATCGATCAGTATTTCGATCAAGCATGTCTAGTTATTGCTCAGCACATTTTACAATTGAATGATTCTACTTGTAAACTAATAATGTTCATTTTATCATTTGTTTGGTTCTGCTTTTGATCTTACTCTGCAAAGAAAAAATTATTGAATTAATGTATTATTGCAGATTACGAAAAAAAAACCCAACAGCTCTCCAACGGTTGTCTAAGTAGCCTATAACCTACCTTGTCATAAGCATTAATGGCGAAAACCGTTGCAACTAGTAAAACACACAACTGGACTCTCAACAGCTAGAAGCTCTTCCGTCGAACGGTTATTAAACTACCTCAACTATAAAAGGCACGAAGAAGCATTAAATGAATAGATTGAATATGCGAACTACCCTCTGTTGATTATTTACTGTCACATTCAATACTTTGTTTCTCCATACACCGACCTTTAGTGATTCTCATTTATTCACTCTGTAAGAGAGGTTGTATCCATCATTATTAATCATGTTCTGTGTGAAACTCAAGAGTTTGGACT